ACTTCATATCAAAGACAAGTTATTTATATACTTTAATCTCCACCCTGTCATGTTAGAAAAGTTGAGACTTTAGAATTAATTTTTATTAAGATGAAATTTTAATAATCTGTAAGTAGTTGACTAGTTATCCATATGAAGCAACAATAGGAATATCCCTATCAGAAACCTGCAAATGAATCCCATCCTCATATTAGCTTTGTAAACTACAAAATATATACTATGTTAAAATTCTCAAAATTAAACTTTGTTGAATAAAAAGACTATCATTACCAAGTGCCACAAATATTTCTTTTTTTTTTGCATAATACAGTAATCCAAGTATTACAAGAATCCTAAAAAAGCTAAATCACTACCACTGAAGGTAAATTCAAAAGAAAAATCATAAACAAAATACACAATCTCTAATCTTTAACTCAACGTTAGTGAAGTTAAATGTATATGAGAAATAATAAAGAAAACATACTTAAATCGCTATGATCGAAGGTGGTGCTTTAGGATCGAGAACGGGAACGACAATGATAGATAAAGAGCGGGAACAACGATGAAGAATAGAGAACGGAACAACAATGGAGAATCGAGATTAGGAACAATGATGGAGATTCGAAATTGGGAACAATGATGGAGAATCAAAATCGGGAACAATGATAGATAATCGAAAACAAGATCCATGATTTGAGCGATTTGTGATTGAAATTTGGATTTTAGCAATTCAATGATTCAATCGATTAGAGATTAAAATCTGGTTTTCAACTATTTAAAATATGAACGATTTGAGAGCTAAGAGATTTGAATATGATTGAAATTTGAGAGAAACAATGTTTAGAGAGAGAGACACGATAACCCTTAAAAAATATCTGAGTTTCTTTTTTGAGTTTTAAAATAAAAAATAATTTAATAATATAATAATTATTAATAATAAATAATTTTAGATGCAACTTATCAACTACCTATATCTATGCCATAAATAAAATATATGTAGCAATAGGTATATTGTACTTATACCTACCATGAATAATATTATCATTAAATATGACCGTCACATTATGGCATATTTCTTGTAGTGAAATAGGCTTTAATATTATTGAATTTCTTATTAAACCAAATAATGTTAGAGAATAATTTTTATACACGATTAGTGTAAAAAAATTTTACACAATCTACTAATAGAAAGCTAGCAATTTACCATGTCATTAAAAAAATTAAAATAAAAATAAAATATAATTAAATATATAATTATGATTGATTGAAATTGTAAAACTATTTTGTTTTCTCATAATGTTATGGTGTTAATGATTGAAATAGTGATTACACTTTCAACTTTCATTGAGGGAAATAGATTCCAGCCATTTCCATATGGCCAACATCAAAGAGTAATGCATAAAGAAATGGTTGGAGGAATCAACTTGCTGGAGGCACAAAGCTTAAACCATGAGACATTCCTCAAATTTCTAGTATCAATATTTCCACTCCTTATAACTTTTTATATGTTTGTAGGAATATATTTTTATTTAAATATATCTACCAATAAAGTCTTATTATATTCTAAAGGGCTGTTTTAACAGTAAAAATGATTTTGAATTAGAGTTGTTGGGACCTCACAAAATTTCAATATAAATTCACTTATACTTATGGGTGTTATTTAAGTTATAGCATATTCCTGACAAAGACAACATCCTCTCACTTAAATTTTTATTTTATCAATAACATACTTTAAAATTTAGTTAACTAATATATTTCATTTGAGTGAATTTCAAATATTTATAATAATATTTGTTGAGATACGATATTGAAAAATATTATTACCAAACAGTTATTGATATGCAATTTTGGCAAATCAAATACACTTTTATTTTGTAACAAGTTATCAATTTTATCTGACTGTGTTTTTTTAGTTTTCAATCCACTCAACTTTAATGAGTATATTATATACTTTTTCTGTAAATATTATCATTAAAATTATTATTCTTATTATTATTATCGATAAATTTTGTCTTTTCAACCAAAAAAATAAAATCTCCATCGATAGAATATGATTTTATAATAGGAAAATAAATCAAATTTTATCACAATAATGATTGAATTAAATTACGAATTAGAAACGTACGAAATAGCTCTATTGCTATTTCACGGAGCAATCCATATCGATGTAATGAAAGTGATAGACCTATGACAATAACAGAACGCCTCAAATAATCAATTCGTTTTTCAAGAAGAGTCTCTCGAAATCTTCCCTCTTTGCCCTCAATTATATCGAAAAACGATTTGTAAACTTTATTATTACCGTCCCTCATTGGTTGTCCGCGGATTCCATTATCAAGAAGTGTATCCACGACTTCTTGTACCAATTTTTCTTGACACATTACTAATTCCTCTGGTGTAGATCTACTTGTTGTTAATAGATCAATAAGAGTATTGTTCCGATAGATAACTCTTCTATAGAGTTCATTAATATCCGAACTCATTAGTTTATCGTCATCTATTTGAATAATTGATCTCAATTCGGGAGGAAGCACTGGTAAGAGACATAATACCATCCATTCTGGTTCTATATTTGTTCGGATAAAATGCTTAGCTAATTCCATGCGTCGAACCAAAAAATTCTTTCTTCTTGCAACTTTTCGATCTTCCCATTCATTTTCATTGTCAGTGGACCCCTCTTCTCCTAATTATGTCCATTCTAGCAACGAAGAATCCATAATCATTCTTAAATCCAGATCAACTAATTGTTCTCGTATAGCACCCGCTCCACTAGAAATTTCTCTATTTCGAAATGTATCCAAATCTTGAGTAGCAAAAAAGAGTGGGAGACTGTATTTCCAGGATTGGATTTCATAGTTAAATGAACCTCGTAATCGTAAGAAAGTTGGTTTTTTAACTACGGGCCTAGCAAAAGAAAAATTTGGATAGAATCCAAAAATGTGGATCTCCCCCTTTGAAAATCGGACATGAGGGTTTCCTCTCATCCGGCTAAAATATTTACACACAATTAAAGATAAAGAAAGGGGTTTCCGCTTTCAAATTTTTGAAAACCTCTAATCTAAAATATAAAATAAGAAAGATTTACTTTTGACTCAAGTTATCAATAAAGACCAAGCAACATTTCATTGATACATTCTTCGTTTTTTCTGAATTTTTTATGCAATTCGAAATTCTGATAGAAATAAAATGTAAAATTCTTGAGTAGTCTACCTCCCTTCGAACGAGTAATCCTCTAAAATGAAATTCTTAATAAAAAAGGAATATCTTCGACTTCATAAGAGATTTTTTTGTCTCTGTATCATACCGTTTGATCTTTTAGGTCAAGACGTCACCTCGAAGGGTATGCCACGATGTCTTAAAGCCTATATGCGATAGAAAAATTTCTGCAATCATGATATATTTTATTCTTTGAACATAATTTTAGTTCTTTTAAAATATAAAATAAATAAATAAAAAAGAGATGAAATAATGAATTCCACAAAAAAGTATTTTTTTTTTCCACAAGGTATATATATTAGAGAAAAAATAAAGGTATCAGATACAACACAAGCACAAGAAGTGCTAAAGAAAACCAACAACAATAACAAACAACAAAACCAATCGAACCAGAAAATACAACAACAAACACAACGACCCTAGCTAAGATAAAAATATGAAAACAAACCAAACCAAAACCCACTCCACTCAAACAAAATGAAACAACCAAAACTCACACTAACTCCAAACACTCCTGATAGTCAAACAACTCAACACTTGAGCAACTGAAGACAGACACCACCTGGACAACAAGAAGGCTAAGAGCAGCCCTAACCACCAACTCGAACAAGCAACCTACTCCAAGACATTAGGAAAAACACCCTCCGAGAGAACCTACGGAAAGGAGGCAGACACCAAATAGAGAAAGGCAGTTGGCCACCTAGCCTACTCCTGAAAGCGTAAGCACCCGAGTGGGTCTCGCTGCCAGTCCACCAGGGAAAAAATGGCTCCTGAAGCGTGGGCATGAAACCACTTCCAAGCCAAACAAATAATTACATCCATCCAATGATTGATTGGGCAAAAAATAATATTATTTCTCAATTTCCAGATTACCCAAACATCTACATGTCAGATCGAAACCAAACCTAACCGAAAATTTTTTTCCAACCACAACCCTGAACAACAAATTTTTAATCTAAAAATATTTACAAATAAAATTTTATTAAATTCTAAAGGGTTGGCCTAATGCTAAAAATGATTTTGAATTTAAGTTATTAGATCCTCAAATGATTTCTAAATTTAAATTCATTTGTGAGTACTATTTGAGTTCTGACATACTCAATAGTATCTTAAATTGAGACGGAGTGAGACAAGATCTTCACATTAAATTTTATTTTATCAATAAAAACAAAATAAAATTTTAATTAATAAATATATTTGATTTGAGTATATTTCAAAATATTTATAATCATAACTCGATCATATAATGATAACTTGTTGACATACGTTATAGAAAAATATTTTTGACAAAGCATATTTATTGACATATAATTTTGACAAATCAATTATATTTTTATTTTTGTATCAATTTAATTTTATGAGATTAATTATTATATATTATTAGTATAAAAAAGTTTACACAATCAATTCATCAAATCATTCGTAATTATTAATTTAGATATATTTAAAATAAAAATCAAAGGTAATTTAATATCTAACAATTACTATTTAACAGTATAAAATTTCTTTACAAAGAGAGCATTTCAATTAAATTCTAGTTTTATTGTGTTTTCTGTGTTTTAATTCAGCCAATTTTATTGAGTATAGATTTAATTCAATCTAATCTTTCCTTTCAAAAAAATTCAATCTAATTTATATTTAAAAGATATATTTTATTCTTTTAAATATAAATATATTTAAAAGAACTTAGGCCCTAGAGTTTTTAGAAACAACAACTAAATTTATCGTTTTAGAGTATTTTACTTTTTAAGAAACCCTAAAATTTTTTTCTTCACAACAAGCCCTAATATTACTTTAGCTCAAATATGAAAAGAAAACAGGAAGCACATTATGCTGTGGGAATAGACCTTGGCACAACGTATTCATGTGTTGCAGTATGGCAAGAAGAACACTGTCGAGTTGAAATCATTCACAATGATCAAGGCAACAGAACTACTCCTTCTTTTGTTGCTTTCACCGAAAATCAGAGATTGATCGGTGATGCTGCTAAAAATCAAGCTTCTGCCAACCCTCAAAACACTGTCTTTGGTATTAACTTCTATTCTTTTTTACTCCTTTCAAGTTCCATACCCTAATTACAAATTATTTATCATGGATCTATTTAGAATTTTCCTATAAGTTTAGGGACCAACCGATCAATTACACTTGTTTGTGTCTTTATTTTTTTTTTCAGATGCTAAGAGGTTAATTGGTAGGAAGTTTAGTGATCCTATTGTTCAAGATGATATACTTTTATGGCCGTTCAAAGTCGTTTCTGGTGTTGACGACAGACCCATGATTACAGTTCAGTACAAAGATCAAGAGAAGCAACTCTATGCCGAAGAAGTATCATCTATGGTACTCACCAAGATGCGAGAAATTGCTGAGAATTATTTAGAATCACCGGTTAAGAATGCTGTTGTTACTGTACCAGCTTATTTTAATGATTCACAACGAAAAGCAACTATAGATGCCGGTGTTATTGCTGGCCTCAATGTGATGAGAGTAATGAATGAACCTACTGCTGCAGCGGTTGCATATGGCCTTGACAAGAGAACTAACTGTGTTGGAGAAAGAAATATTTTTGTCTTTGATCTTGGGGGTGGCACGTTTGATGTGTCTTTACTAACCATTAAGGGTAATGCCTTCAAAGTTAAGGCAACTGCTGGAAACACTCACCTTGGTGGAGAAGATTTTGATAATAGAATGGTGAACTACTTTGTACATGAGATCAAGAGAAAGAAAAAAATGGATATTAGTGGGAATCCAAAAGCCTTGAGGAGGTTGAGAACTGCTTGTGAGAGGGCGAAAAGATCACTTTCTTTCCTTGTTGTCACAGCTATTGAGGTAGATTCTTTATGTCAAGGCATTGACTTTTCTTCATCAATCAATAGGGCCAAGTTTGAGGAAATGAATATGGACCTTTTCAATGAGTGTATAAAGACGGTTGAGATTTGTCTTACCGATGCTAAGATGGACAAGGGCAGTGTAGATGATGTCGTCCTTGTCGGTGGATCTTCTAGGATTCCGAAAGTACAAGAGCTATTACAAGACTTTTTTAATGGAAAGGGGTTGTGCAAGAGCATTAATCCTGATGAGGCAGTAGCTTATGGGGCAGCTGTTCAGGCTGCATTGTTGAGCCAAGACGTTAAGAACGTCCCAAAATTGGTGCTGCAGGATGTTACACCTTTGTCTCTTGGAAGATCAATAACAGAAGATATTATGCATGTGGTGATTCCTAAGAACACTTGCATTCCTGTCAAGAAGACAGGATCATATGTTGCAAGTCAAGATAACCAAACCGGTGACACGATTTTGGTTTATGAGGGTGAGAGAGCAAGAGCCAGTGACAACAATTTGCTTGGTTCTTTTACTCTTTCTGGCATTCCCCCAGTTCCTCGCGGCAGCCCTCTCTCAAATGTTTGTTTTTCTATTGATGAAAATGGTATTTTGACTGTTTCAGCTAATAATAATGTTTCTGGAGTTTCAAACAAGATTACAATAACCAATCACAGAGATAGATTGTCAAGTCAGGAAATTAAAAAATTGATTCAAGAAGCTGAGAGTTACCAAATTGAAGACAAGAAATTCCTAAGGAAAGCCAAAGCGCTGAATGCATTGGATGACTACATTTACAAAATGAGAAATGTTTTAAAGAAAAAGGATATTAGTCTAAAGCTCTCCTCTCAAGAAATTGAGATTATCGAATCTTCAATTACTGCGACTACAAATTTGATTGATAACAATAACCTAGAGGTAGAAATAGATGTTTTGGAGGACCATCTAAAGGGACTTAAGAGTACCATAGAAGACATTTTAGCTAAGACTATTTATTTTTTGTTTCATTTTTTCTCAACTAAGATTTTGAGGTGTGTTTTGCTGTTTAGTAGGTATTATATATTACTTTAGTAAGGTTTGTTTTGCTGTAGTAGGCATTATATGTTACTTTAGTTTATAAGTTTCTTTGAGTCTTTCTAAAAAATTTAAATTGGCTGCATAATCAGTTTGTGAATTTCCTTTGCTTGAGTACATAATATCAGATTTTATTGTTGATTTTCCATTACAGCAGTCACACTTATCTATAACTCTTATGACTTAAGTTAATCATGATAGTTCAACACAAAAACTTATAGAGAATTCAACTATGAATGAATATACTTTGACATAGAATACGCTTTCATAGGGAGTTAACATGAAGTGTTTGTTCACGGTCCTCGTGTTCTTTCCTTCTCATACAGGAACTAGAAGTTCTGTAGCCCCGCACAAGTGAGTAGAGGAGTCATTTAACTCTAAATGATTCATGCTTTCATACGGCCTAAGTGTTAAATAAACTTTAATGGATTTCTATTAATAAGTTTGTGGAAAGATTAAGAGTATGTTATAATTGGAAGGCCAAGAGATAGTGGTCTATAATAGTATTTATTAATGTTATTTGTTTTCTTGGAATAGCAGAAATGTTTGAGTCTATATAAAGACCAATGTTATATTCTATTTGATAAGAAGTTATAAAAGTATTGCTTCCTTCTATCAAATTGGTATCAGAGCTAATGACAAACATGATGAATCAAATGTTGTTGTCACGGCTAACGAAGTCAAGTTACGAAAACTGGAGTATCCAAATGAAAGCTCTTCTTGAATCTCTAGACGCATGGGAGGTGACTAAAGATGGGTTTGAAGAACCAACAGATGTTGCGGGATATACGACAGCTCAAAACAATGCGTTGAAAGAGACGTGATCGAAAGATAAAATAGCACTATACATGTTGTTCAGGGTTGTTGACGAATCAGGCTTCAAAAAGATTGTCGGTTCGACTACGTCGAAAGAAACATGGGACACGTTAGAGAAAGTGTTCAAAGGAGCAGACCAAGTAAAGCAAGTTCGACTCCAAACTCTTCGTGACGAATTGGAGAGGATGCAGATGAAGGAGTCAGAAAATGTATCTGACAATATCACGCGTGTACAAAAGGTGGTGAACCAACTCACTAAAAATGGTGAAACAGTAACTGATGCATGAGTTGTTGGAAAAAAATTGAGATCTTTAACAGATAAATTTGAGAATATTGTGTGTGCAATAGAAGAGTCGAAGGACCTTTCGACGCTCTCAATCGAAGAGCTTGCTGGTTCTCTCGAAGCACATGAATAACGTAAGATGAAAAAGAAGGAAGAAACAGTCGAGGAAGCAAATCAAACCAAGGAGTCGATCAAAGACGAAAAGGTACTCTTTTCTCAAAACTTTCGAGGAAGAGGACGTGGCCGTGGAGGTCGTGACAATGGTCGAAGTGGTCGATGCAGCAACTTCGAGAAAGGACAGTCGAGCCAGCAAAAATGGTGTGGCAGAGGACGTGGTCAAAGAGGTGGTCGGTCGAACTACTCTAACTTCGAATGCTACAAGTGTGGGAAGCATGGTCATTACACGAAGGATTGCAATTCCTACAAATGATATAACTGTGATAAAGTGGGACATCTTGCAAAATATTGTTGAATCGAAAAAAAAAAGGTAGAAGAAACAACCAATCTAGCTTTGGAAGATGAAGTGAATGAAGCGAAGGTGTGAATAAAACGCAAGAAAGGGGGGTTTGAATTGGGTTTTCCTTTCTTTTAAAACTCTGGCTTCTAAGCATTATTCGTTGAACAATGCGTCTGATTATTGCTTCTAATTAATGCTTCTAATTTAATTTAGAAAACATAAACTCTAAAGCATAAGCAAAAGTAAAGAACACACGATATATCTTGGTTCACTTGAGAAACCCCCAAGCTAATCCAGTCCACCCTTCCGAGGTGATTTCTCCTCACTCAATCGAAGACTTAATCCACTATAATCAATCTAATTACAATCGCACGGGTAACCGTCGGTGACTAACATCTAATGAAACGTTCAGGGATCCAAACCAGATATAATGTTCATTTACCCAACAGAATCTGATTCTCCAGAATCTCCTATCCGGATTTCCTTTCAATGATATCCATCTGTGATCTCAGAAGGCTGACCTTCACTCAGTCCTCTTTGAGATATGACTACCATTGACCCAATAGAATCCACTACCAGGATTTCATCTACGATGACCGCAACCAAAGTCTTCTCAAGTCTTCTGATCTTCACTCGATCACTTGAGATGCCAACCAATTCTAAATAGAATGGGTTTTCTGGAGATTACATGAGTGCTTCTTATCAAGCAAATTACTCCTAATTTAAGTACATATTGTTTGACATAATTTTGAGCAATAACTTTTGTGTACAAACAATTTACATGAAGATCTTAAGAAATAACAATATGAGCAACAACTCTTGTGTTTTACATATTTATACAAAGATGAATCTAATCTAAAATAAGTGCAGCATCTTGTAGTCTTCTTGTCTTCATCTTCTTTGTTGAGCAAGTTGTGAGCAACAACTCCTTGCTTCTTCATAATTTTGTCAAGATATATATGATTGATGATTTGAATTACATTTTGAAGAATTCTTCATCTTTATCTTCTGCGGCTTAGCAAGATTTGTGCAACATATGAGATTAAACACATTGTGAATCTATGATTTCAATGTAATCAGTATCAACATGATTGAAGATTCATTTTATAACAGTTGTTCTTGTTGTTGTTATAGTGGATGAAAACTTTGTTTTGGTTGTGTTCTAATAATGATAGATTTTCTTTTGAACATCAACAACTTGTGACTTTCAACTTGCAGCTTTTAGCACTCGGCAAGCAGATTATGGGAAGCTTATCATGTATTAAGCAACCAGCTAACCAATCAACCAACACACCAACCAACAACATGATTTTAAACATACAATTCTTGTCTTATATAGCCAAGCAAAATAGATCCATTGGCTATTTAAAAAAGAGTTGTTACAAATAGTACTACGACGTCCTTATCTCTTCCACACTTCAAGTTAGTGGAGAGGTAGTGGCATAAAGTTTGTCATACTGTTTACTATTGTACTGTGTTACCGTTATATTCTTTCCTTCTGTACTTCAGAGACTTCTATGAGCATGAGATTAGAAGCGGGAACATAACATAAGGTCTTCATAACTTCAAGTCTTTAGAGTCTTCAGCACTTGGTTATGAGAATCTGTTGTAGCGAACCTTTAGATCATAAGAGCTTTAAGTCTCCAGAGTCTTAAGAATTGCGTCTTTAGAGTCTTCAGCACTTGTTCTTCAGAACATGTTTGTAGATTACATTGGACCTTTAGAATTCCATGTCTTTGAAATCTTCGGACCTTCTGTCTTTAGAATCTTTAGCACTTGGTTCTTTAAGAATCCTTAACTTTAGAACTTCATAAATAGAAATACAAGCTTTCAGTATCTGGACTTCAATAGAAACTTTGTCTTCAGATCTTCTAACTTTATTTCTTTGGAACATGTTATCTATTAGAAACTAAGTTTTTAGCATCTGGACTTCAGCAGAAACTTTGTCTTTAGATCTTCTAACTTTGTTTCTTGAACCACACTATCTTTTAGAAACGTAAGTCTTCAGCATCTGGACGTAAGTAAAAATTTATGTCTTCAGATCTTCTGACTGATTTTCTTAGAACATGTTGTCTTTAGAAGCTTGAGTCTTCAGGATCTGGACATAAGTAACAACTTCTATCTTCAGATCTTTTGACTGGTTTCTTCACACAAATATCAGGGTTTACACTTCAGAGTCTTCTGTAGTGTCTTACTATTGTTCAACATAACTTGTGTAGCATATAAGCGGAATCATTTCTCTTCTAATGTCTTGGCTGCACCATCCATCAAAAGAAGAACCTGTTTATTAAGTACTTAACAATAACAAATATTAGTACAACAAAATTGTTCATACCATCATACTCATTTTTTATCATCAAAACTCAGAGATGGTGTTGCAGAACCAAATCTTATTCTTACATGAAGGTTTTCTCTTGATGGCCCAAAATAAAATCAACACCAATAATGACAATATTTGGTATCTTGACTCAGGAGCAAGTAATCACATGTATGGTCACAAACACCTGTTTAAATAAATGAAAAAAAATTGAAGATGGTAATGTGTCTTTCGGAGATGCATCGAAAGTGGAGGTCGAAGGCAAGGGTACAATCCCTTACTTACAGAAGGATGGCTTGATTGGATCAATCCAAGATGTTTATTATGTACCAGATCTCAAGACCAACATATTGAGTTTGGGACAACTTATAGAAAAAGGTTTTTTTATACATATAAAAGATCGGATACTACATTTGAAGGACAGAGTGGGAAATCTGATTGCTTGTGTTGAAATGGAAAGAAATTGAATGTACAAACTGAATCTGAGGAACGTTCGAGAGAAATGTTTACAAGTTGATATGCAAGATAAAGCGTCATTATGGCATCTACGTTTTGGTCATCTACATCATGCTTGTTTGAGAAGGTTGGCGAAAAAGAACATGGTGCACGGACTACCAGACATGGATTATGAAGGAAAGTTTTGTGAAGAATGTATGCTTAGCAAACAAACAAGAACCTCATTTCAAAAGAAGGCATAATATCAAGCTAAACATATTCTCAAATTGATTCATACCGACATATGTGAGTCAATCACTCCGGAATCTTTCAGTGGCAAAAGGTACTTCATTTCCTTTATCGATGATTTCTCATGAAAGACCTGGGTTTATTTATTAAAAGAAAAGTTTGAAGCATTAGAGGTGTTCAAAAAGTTCAAAGTAATGATCGAGAAGGCAACTCACAGACACATCAAAGCAGTTCGATCTGACAGAAGTGGTGAGTACACTTCGATAACCATTATGAAGTATTATGAAGAGCAGGGCATAAGGAGAATCCTAACTGCACCATATTCACCTCCATAAAACTGTGTGGCTGAAAGAAAGAATTGGACAGTTATTGACATGATTCGATCAATGCTTAAGAACGAGAACATGTCAAAAGAATTCTGGGCAGAAGTTGTACAATGT